CTTGTACTTCTGGCAGTCGGTCGTTGCGGCTGGGGCAAATGACACACACCTTTGAGGGGCTGACCGTTGGAGGTCCGGGTGCATAGCGAGCACAACGTTGCATTGTGGTCCGACGGGGGCGTGCTGCGAGGATCGCACACAGGGATGGGCAGGAATTTTGCATCTCTGAGGGGCGGGCAAATCTCGACACATCTAAATTTAAATTTGCACTTTTGAGTGGCATTCAAGCTGGAGAAAATCAGGAATTGTCACATCTTTTTGTTTTTTGTTTTTTTTTCTTTTTCTTTGAGGGGCTAAATAGAAAGTTTCGAAAATAGAAATTCCAGGTCTTTATGTTTGCGGGAAGAGTGCAGTGTGAATTTGCGCCCAGGCAAAAGCAAATATTGCCATTTTCAGGCCCACCGGATGAAAGAGACAGTGGGAGAGAGAGGATAATACAAGAAGGGGCTGGCACGGAACAGAGAAGTTGACGAGAATGGGGGACATACCGAGTTTGGTATGATGAGGACGGACATTATCGAATCTCCCGCCACGAGGAGCCGACTCTTATCACCATCTCCATCTCCATCTTCGTATGGGTGCATGACGGTGTGAAGTATCTCTACGCGGCGGATTGGCGTTCTCTTATGAGGAGGTGACATTGCCAAGATAGTAGTAAGACAGAGCGAAGAGGATGCAGTCGCTAAAGCTTCTGCGATGCCGTAAGGGGTCCTCCTTCCGGTCATCATCTCTGGGCACCATAGCTGAGAGGGTGCTTCTACCTGTGATGGAAATGCAGTGCAAGGAGGGTTTGGTGAGGGCCACCGGGAGCGGCAAAGGGACATCATGGTATTGCACGGTTGCTAATCAAGCGTGCTCCTCAGAGAGAAACGCAAGCGCTGATCCTGTGAGTTCAGTGGAGAGAGTGGATGACAAGTTGTTTGGGGGTCGAGCCCAACCGGATGTACGTAGGAACGTGCAACAGGCGATGGCTGCTGCGTTCAGCTGTCCTTTGCGGGTCGGCGTCCATGGCCCTGCCCCGACGATCCCACAATCCTGCTGTGCTGAGATGGGACGGAGAACCGCCCATCAGGACAGGAAAGAGGAATTTCATCCTACAGCTACCAGTCAGAGAGAGAGGTGGACGATCACAAAGGGAGGTGATCGAGCGGCGATGTGGAGCAGGCTCGGGTTTGGCTTCGCCCGGGTGACCGCCATTTCCAGCCACGTGTTGTCCTGTTGTGCAAGGGAACAAGCTGCCTTCTTCTCTCGATCTTGGCGCTCTAGCTCGGTTGTCCGATCAGCCACCTCTCAGGCTCAGGTCATTTCCCCTCCTGCTGAGAGGGATACAGCCAACGCAGCAGATGACCCTGCGGCTGCTGCTGGCGATGCCGCCTCTGCCGCCTCTGCCGGTGCTGACCCTAACTGTAATTCCAAACCGGCACAAAGGAGGTGGTCCTTGTCCATGCTTGTGCTGATCCTTCCTTGCGTGGCCACTTTTGCGCTGGGCACGTGGCAGCTGCAGCGCAGGCAGTGGAAAATTGACCTTCTCGAGCGGCGGAAAGAGAGACTTCGTGGCGAGCCTGAACCGTTGACGGACGTTCTCGCCGCCATCTCCTCCTCATCCGCATCTACCTCCGATGATGGTCAGATTCGTCATCTTAGCTCTGGCTATGGCGGTGATGACGATGCCACGATTCACGAGAAAGATTGGGAGCCTTTCGAGTATCGAAAGGTCGCATGCCAAGGTGTCTTTGATGATCGTCGTTCCGTTTTCGTCGGTCCTCGCGTTCGCTCTGCAATGGGAGTACCCGAGAAAGGCTATTTCTTAATTACCCCTCTCATTCTTGTTGATGACAATCAAGGACATGGGCTTGTTGGCGACAATAGGAAGGCGAGTGAGAGAGCCGGCATCGTTAGCAGCAGTAGCAGCAGCAGTAGCGGTAGTGGAGGGGATGTAGTAGGGAATGCTGTAAGAACCCGAACCCGGACTGTACTCGTCAATAGGGGTTGGGTGCCTGCCACGTGGCGGGCTCGGTTCACCTCGCCACAGTCGCAAAGGAGCCCCTCTGGTTCATCGGCCTATCTGCGATCTCCCTCCTCTTCCTCCTCCTCCTCCTCCTCCTCCTCCTCTTTGTCTTCGATGTCCACTGCGTCCTCCCCGTCCTCCTTACTTGGCAGCGACTACCTATCTGTCGCGCACTCTGACGATGAAGATGGGCAGCGAGGGATCTGCCACGTCACCGGTCTTATCCGACTCAGCGAACGGCCGAGCAGCTTCGTTCCTGCCAATTCGCCGGAAAATGGGCAGTGGTTCTTCATCGATGTCCCGGCTATCTCCCGCGCTTGCGGATTGGCGTCAAACACGCCCTTGGTGGAACTGGTGTCAACGTCCTCATCCTCGTCAGCTGAACTGGACAGCGAGGATGACGTGGATTTCCCGATCCGAAGGTCCATAGACGAAGCGACGAAGTCTCCGGTGATGCCACGTGATCACATTAACTACGCGCTCACGTGGTACACTCTTTCCGCGGCGACCAGCTACATGGCCTGGCGGATGCTGCGCAGGGCTCCGCCACGTCGGCTGAGGGGAGGCCTGAGCGCTGCCTCCACATCAACGTCAACTCCCCGTCCCTCCTCATGATCCAAACCGATCAATTTCTCAATCTAACGCGAAATCTCTTTTCCTCTTTTATTAGTGTAATTAGTGCAATTGCATCTTGGTGGTGGTAGCCCGAACATGACGGCAATGATCACGATGGTGATGTTGATGACTAAGATGATGATGCCAGTTCATAAGAACAGATAACGATGGAGAAGGGTTGTAGATATTGAGATGTAGGGGAGTAGGTCCAGAGATGATTGTAGGGGATTGACCATGCTGAGTAGTGTTTGGGATGAAGATAAAAATGAAAATGAAGATGAAGGTGAAGATGAATATGAAGACGAGAAAAAAGAAAGAAAGAAAAAGATGTAGATGGAATTGGAAATGGCGATGGAGGTGAAGATGAGTATGAAGATGGCGATGGAGATGGAGATGGAGATGGCGATGGAGGTGGCGATGGAGGTGATGATGGAGATGACAATAGAGATGGCAATGGAGATGGCGATGGAAATAGTGACAGAAATGGAGCTCGCCAAAATGGTCCTGGTTCGCTTGGGGCTTCTTCATGCGCACGAATCCGATGAAAGCTGTCTGAAGCTTTTATTGATTTATGAGATGAGGTGTGTCGCTCTTCGACTTGAACATGTTGAATGGCGTCAAATTGCTTCTAACCCCTCTCTCTCTCTCTCTCTCTCTCTCTCTCTCTCTCTCTCTCTCTCTCTCTCTCTCTCTCTCTCTT